GGGGGACCGGGACGGCGGCTGCATGCAGACGAAGAAACGGCATGCCGTGGCAGCCTTGCGGGGCTGCTCACACGCAGCGCCCCGCCTCGACTCGCGTCATCCAACCTGCCCCTCCTCCCTCCGACTCCAGGCGCACGCCTGGACGGCGCTGGGCAAGATGTGCCTGATGGACGAGGCGCTTGCCAAGCTGTGCGTGCCCCTGTTCGTGCAGCAGCTACGCTCCGCGGCGGCGCCGGCGGTGCGCAACAACATCATGGTGGCGCTGGCGGACCTGGTGGTCCAGTTCACCGCCCTGGTGAGGAAAGCGCGGGGAGGTCCTCAAGGGGAAGGGGGGAGATGGTGCTGGGGACACGGAGAGGGGCCGGCTGGGCGTCGCAGCGTCGGCCAGGACAGCCAGTCTCGGATCGGCTGGCTGGACCCGACGCCGGGTGTCAGGAACGAGAGATGCCCAGGTACTCCATTCGAGCACCCGGGCCGGCACTGACTGACCGCCCTGCTAACCCTGGGGTGCAACAGGTGGACGCCCACGTCCCGGCCCTGGCGGCCTGCATCACGGACGACAACGAGGTCGTGCGCTCCCAGTCCCTGGCGCTGCTGGCCAACCTGCTGCAGAAGGTGCTGAGTTGCTGCGGGGGGGATGGGAGGGGGGGCGGGGCAAGGCAGTGGGGGATTGGAGGTGACTCTGCAGCCGATCACTTTGCAGTGGGCGGGGTGGCCCATCGGCATTGTGGTGTGTTCAGCCACGGGGAGCCAAGCAGGTGTCCCATCGCTGGGTTTCTCCAAAGGAGCGGGCCGACCACGACTCCCTCACGACGTGCCGCAGGATTACGTCAAGTGGCGCGGGCCCCTGTTCCACCGCTTCCTCCTGGCGTTGGTGGACGAGTCCCCCGCCGTCGCGCGCATGGCAGAGTACCTGCTGGGCGACGCGCTTTCCAGCCAGGTGCGGAGGTATTGCTGGGAGTGGGGGTGGGCAGGGAACGAGGTGAGCACAGGCTGCGCCATGGGCGCCATGCATCGCAGCGATCTCATACAGAAGTGTACAAATCCATTCCCCCTCCCACTTTCCCTCCGCCAGGCGCCCAACCTGGCGTACAACCACTTTGTGGAGTCGTTCTTCGTCCTGAACGCATGCCGGGAGGGCCCTGGCGCGGGCGCGGCCGTGGCCGCCTGCATGGACCTGGACGCCGCGGCGGGCGCGTCCGTCTGCGGCGGCGGCGGCGGCGACGCTCCAGGCCGGCGCCCGGCCACGCGCCGTCTGGACGGCGCGTCGCCCGAGGCGCGCGCCGCGCGCGCCAGCCTGTACTCGGCCCTCCTGCGGCGCATGACGCCCGAGCACCGCTTCGCCAGCGCCGCGCGGCTGACAGCCGAGGTGCTGGCCGGCGCGGCGGACGGCGCGCTGCCGCTGTCGGCCCCCGGCGCGGCCGAGGTACTGGGCGACGCGCTGCGCGCGCTGGGCTCCCCCGACATGCGCGTGGCGGGGGCGGCCGCCGCCGCAGCGGGGGAGGGCGAGGAGCCGGACGCCGCGGCGGCGCTGGGCGCGGCGCGCGGGCGCCTCGTCTCCCAGCTCATGCGCAAGCACCTGGCCGAGAGCGTGGTGCCCGTGGTCATCGACCTGCGGCGCGTGCTGGAGAGCGCGCGCAGCCCGCTGCTGGCGGACCTCATGCTCTGCGCCCGCGTCATGCTCAAGGACCACAAGGACGAGGCGCGCGGGGGCGATGGTGGGGGTGGGTCACTCGTGCATGTGGGGCTGGGGAGGGGAGGGCTGCCACCCTGCGCCGGAGCGTGACCTGGGAAGGGGCCGGACTGCTCGACCCCTACACCTCCAGCTCGATGGCCGCGGCCGCCTGACGCACGGGGAGGAACACGGTGTCCACCCACCCGCTCCCCACCATGCGCAGATCGAGGACATCCTGGTGGCCGACCGCCAGCTGGCCAAGGAGCTGCTGTACGACATGCGCCAGGCCGAGCTGGCTGCCACCAAGGTGGGCGGGCCCTGCCTGTGTTGTGGGCCGTCCGCCGAGTGGCGCGGCGGCCTGGGTCCTTGGCGACCTCATTTGAAGATGCGGATCGGTGTGTGCTCTGGCCCTCCTCTCGCTGGACCCCTGCATCCCTGCCTCACAATCCCACCCACCCCACGTATGCGCCCAGAGCATGCACGTGGCGGCGGTCAAGGCGGAGCCGCGCAGGTCGCCCGCCGCGCCGCGCGGCACACCGCCGGGGACGCCGGCCGCGGCGTCGGCCGCGGCGGAGCGCACGGTGCCCCGCTGCGCGACGCCCATCGCCGACGAGGTGTTGCGCGGCGCGCGGGGGAGCGGCGACGCCGGTACACCCCACGTCGCCGCCGGCACGCCCCCAGGTGGGGCTGGGAGGGGTGGAGCGTGTGATGCTGAGGATTCCCTCAGTCCCTCCCCAGCCGCGCCGCATGCCAGCGTGTGGCTCCCTCACTTCAAGCCCTCTCACACTGACCCATCGCGCAGCAGGCCACAAGACACCTGCCCCTGGCACGGCAGTGAGGCTGCTATCGCGCCTGGGCCGCTCAGACGGTGCGTAGATTCGGCCAAGAGTCAACAAATCATAGATCTTGGAGAGGGTGGGCCTGGCCTGCTCGGCTTCCATAGTGCATTGCCAGCCCCTACACGCACTGCCCCCCCCCCCCTACATTGCAGGATCGCACTGCTCCTCCGGGGCTCGCGCCTCCGGCATGACTCCCGGAACAGAACCTCGGCTAGCCAGGGCAGCAAGGGAGAAGCAAATCATTGTCAAGGTGGGGGACCCCCCATCGCGGTCGCATGGGGCTTGGGGCAGCGCTTGCCGGGATCTCGGGAGCCTGGCCTCGGCAGATCGATGTGGACAGCATGGGGAGGGGAAGCGGTGCCTTGCTCGCGACCGGACACCCGCTCGTCCCCACACAAAGTTAACGACGGGACAATTGATCGAGTTGGCCACCTCCCTGCCCCTCCCATGCCCAGGACGAGCCGGAGGTGGTGCAGGCGGAGGAGCAAATGCTGGCGCTCAGTCTGCCGGGGGTCGCGGGGACCCCTTTGCGACAGTGGAATCCCACTTTGGCGGAGGAGATGCACCCCGGCGGGGCCGCCGGTGGGGGTCCCAAAGTTTGCATGGAAGGCCCGGGCACGGACAGGGTCAAAGGCGGTGCCCGCAAGCGGGGGGTGGGCGGGTAAATTCTGGGCCCCCAGCGAAAATTGCGTTGCTTTCCCCGACGGTTAAAGAAGCACAACATAATGTGGACATGTGTCCCGCTGACAATCGAGTTCAGGGGAGCAAATGGCGGTGTCCTGCGGTGGGGAAACGAAATCCCGGGGCGAATCTTACCCCGTGCGACCTCACAGCAGGCGGAACCTACCGGCACCCATGGCCCAACGATGATCCGTACCCCCAAAGTGGGACCATTACACGCCTTGGACATGATAACAAACATATTTCCAAGTTAAAGATGTCGCAAATATAGACCGAGACCCTCCTCCGTGCCCGTACCCGCCGAGTGCAACGTTTTTGCGGCTTTCCCTTGGAGCATCATCTGGCTCCCGTCCGCATTGGTACAGCATTTCGTAGAGTTATACAACACATTATCTGTCCTTGTGCCCGCTTGTGAGCCCATCATGGCGCCGTCTAATTACACCGTCCTCTGCTCCAAGGCCCTGACGCACTCTGACGTCACCACGGAGATTGCCAAGTCTGGGCGCCTCGTGCTGCCCAGGGCCCAGGTCGTGAGCTGTCTGCCACGCCTGCTTCACCTGGGGGGCGCTGCGCCAGCCTCCGCCAAGGCCCGCCCGGGCGGGCCCACCCCCGCGATACCCCTGGTACGCGACCGTCAAACACGGCGATGGGGGTTCGGCGCCGGGTGCCCCGTCGCTCGCTGTGTTACATACCGATTCATCACCCCCCCTCATCCTCACAGTTTATGTATGACATGAGCGGCAAAATGTGGCGTTTCCAGATGAAGACCTGGCACAATGTGGTGGCCTGCGGTGGCCGAGCTACTTACGTTCTTGAAAACACCGGTGAGGGGCCTGGGATAGATAGCATGCCCCGTGCAGGTGGTGTGGTGCCACCTTCACAGTGTGGGGTGTGTGCAGGATGCATGCTGTTGTTATAATCTCAATTTGCGTCCTTTCGTTGGGCTGTGGTGCATGAGCGCCCTGGCCGCCTGCCCCTGGATCGAGGTACTGCACCACTGCCGGGGCCATCCAGATGTTGTCAGAGACACTTGAGACCTCCCGTCCCACAATCCTACGCAAATCTCCAGCACCCCTCTCCCCCTCTCCCCCCACCATCCTCCAGCCGGCTTTGTCCAGGAGTTTGGGCTGCAGCCTGGGGCCTGGCTGGCCATCTGCGAGCAGGAGGGGCGGCTGGTGCTGCGCACCGACCTTGGCGGCGTGCGCGCCTCGGCCCGCGCGCCGCCCGCGGCGGCGCACGCCCCCCCCGCCCCCCGCGCCTACCCCGCCCCCGGTCCTCCCGCCTCCTGCTTCGAGGCCTGGGCTGCCTCGGCGCCCATGTCCCACTCCGACGCGGGCATGGCGCTGGTGAGCATGCAGTGCGACTCCTCCTCCTCCGAGGGCGAGGCCGGGCATACCACCGCCGCGCTGCGCGCCGCCATGGCCGCCGACGCGCGCGCGCTGGGCGCGCCCGCCTCCCCGCCGCGCGCGCTGGCGGTGCTGGTGCGCCCCACCCCCGTGCATGGCGCTATCTGGGTGCAGCAGACGCTGCAGGCCTCGCAGCACCAACCCGCGCAGTGGACGCTGACGCGCGTGCCCTCTGGCCCGGCACCCGCCTCCGAGGAGCGCACCGGTGCGGAGCTGGCGCGCGCCCTCCGCATGGTCTGACGCCGGCTCGGCGGAGGAGGGGGGGAGAGGGGGCCGGGACGTAGCCTGTAGCGGCACCCGCAGCCTCCCTCGTTACCCCACCCCTCCGCACGGTGGACCCCCCACCCCACCCATGAAGAGGGAGTGCAGGCCACGGCGCCGGGCCCCGTCCGGCGCCCCCCAGCACAGAGAAGAAGCATCTTATACCGTCATACTGTACCGCACTGGTTGATTACTAGCATACATTGTGTTTTACTCCACCCTCTGCCGTGTTGTCCCCCGACCCACCTGCCTGCGCAGCCGAGCATGCGGGGCGTTGCCCTTTTACTGCTGCGGCACCCCCCCCAGGCCCTTTACGGCCCGGGGGCATCCCCTGGAATTTTGTCCTGCGCCGAGCCCTCCTTGGCCTCGCCCATCGGCAGTACATACTTGACGCTCTAGGTACACCATCTGAACTTCCTTTACCTTTCTGCCCCCGCCCCATGTGGCCACACACATCGGTACCCACCTTGCCATGTGTGTGTGTGAATGCATTTTTACCCCTCCCTCCTAATTCCTGCCTTGCCCAGGACCCTTCCTTTGTCGTTTTATTTGCGTAGGGCATGCTTGTGGAGCCGCCGGCCTGCACCCTCGCCTGGGGGCCCAGCGCCTGGTGCTGGCTGTTGTAGTAGAGACTTTTGAGTCTGGGCATGGGTGGGGCTGCACCGGCGCAGTGCCTGGAGCAGCAGCGCCCGGATGTGGCACAGTACCACGCCTGCCAGCAGGAGGTTTGAGGCGTAGAGGAAGTTGGCGTTTGCTGTGCCCAGGCCCAGCCAGATCTGTGGAGGTGGATGTGACGGTCTGGGCAACGCAGAGCATTGAGCCAGAGCATTGAGCCCATGTGCTCTTCTCGCAGCCCTGCACTGATCGGCAAGCACTCCGTCGTACATGGTGGGCAGCGGCATTCAGACCCAGGCCGGCCATCAGCACCGCCAGCCACCAGCCCGGGTTCGGTATGCCTGCCGCGCAGCTCAGGGCCTGCGTAAGTGGGGGAGTGCACGTGAATTCACCGCAGGGCAAAGCCTTTGAACAAGGGGTCGAGTGCGAACTGAAGCGTCAGGCTCAAGGCTGCACAGCTTCAAGCCCCTCAGACTGTCTGCCTCTCTACGCAGCGCCCCACCATTGCCAGGGCGGCGTGGTGGGGTGCAGGCACATCTGAGAACAGGAACATGAGCCACAGCTGGCACGCCAGCACATGCCACGGCTGGGTGGGAAAGCGCAGCGCGACGCTGGATTGCAGGACGGAGGGCAGCGTGGCAAACACATAGGCGTACAGTGACCTGTCGGGGATTCGGTGGCAGGTGAATCGGGAGCAAATGCACCAGAGCGCTGGTGCGGCCAGCACCGCCTCTCAATCCCGCGTGCCCCGTATCCCAGTCTTCCCGGACCCTCGCCCACCTGAAGCGAGGGAAGGCCTCGGCAGCCAGGTACCACTGCAGCCCCAGGTTGGGCCGGATCTGGGCCTCAGACCCTGGGCCCCCTCTCCACCAGCCTGCGCGGCAGTGCCAGGCCCAGGCTGTGCCCGCGAGGCAGAGCGTGGAGGAAAGCAGGGGGAAGCATGCAGGGGTGCCACACGCGGTGGCCATCGCCACGCCCTCGCCTCTCCGGGCGACGAGGAGCAGAGAGCACAGCGGAGACTGCGATTCATGCGCAGGGGGTGGGGTGAGTTGTTGTCAGCTGTCATGAAATGCACAACATCAGCCCGTTACGTCTCCGAGTACCATCGCTTTGCTCCTCCTCCAGCCCCGTCACCCCACTCACGAGCATGGCCAACCACGCAGGGCCGGCGCTGGCCAGGACCACCAGGAAGGGCGCTGCTGAGAGGAGCCTGCCCTGACTGCACAGGGAGAGTGAGATGACCAGGGCTGCGCTGTGTATGCTGAGCCTCAGGGCCCCAGGGCCCTGGGCTGTCCACAGGAGTGGATGCAGCAGGTACAGTTTTGCCAGGGCGGCTGGAGTCTCAGTTTTGACAGGACGACCAGGCCCGCAGGCTGCTGTGGAGCGAGGGTTTGAAAGGACGCCTCAAGACAGTGCTCTGAGTACATCAAACGGGCTGCGCGCTTTCAATCTGTGTGGCCAAAACCAATGCCAGAGTCGTCTCACCGTGCACGACCTGGCCCCCATCCGGCTGCTCGTCTTTCTGCACCGCCGGCGTCGTGCATGCGAGGCCCCACGCCGCCGCAAAGTCCAGCAGCACCGTCGCCAGCGCAGTGAGCCACGCTCCCTGATCCAAGCGTGCTGTGGCATGTACGGGGGGATCAAAGCCCAGGACGGGCATCCATCGGGAGCCCAGGGTGGTCACCAGGGAGCCTGGGCCCTGGAGGCAGAGTGCAATGGCCAGGCGCAGGAATAGCGCTGGCAGGAGGGACGCCACCTGCCGTGCCATGGCCCCATTCGACATCTGCACCGTTGAACTTGAACCTTTAGGGGCTATATACTTCCTGCTCGCCTAGATGATGCTGAGGCTGTGAGCATGGGGCAGGAGACGCGCTTCGTGGGCCCTCAGCCCTGAGTCAAAATCTCGACAGGTCAGACTCACCATCACAGCACATTGACGGTGCCTTTTTAAATAGGTAAAAGAAGATGGGTAGTGGAGGACTGCGCCTCTGTGCCGTCGCTGATCTAATGAGGTAAACAATCGCGCGCGCACAAGGGCTTCAGACCTCCGCTCGACATTGACGTGGCACCGATGTGGGCGTTGTTGTTCCATCATCGGCCAGTACATACCGAGATCAGGCCATCGCATGTAGTACAGAGACGTACACATAGATTCTGAATTGGAATATCCTCACGGAGGACTGTTCTCTGGTTCCTGATCGGAAGGAATACGTCTCGGTGCTCACCACTCCAATGCGAGTGACATGATCATTCGCCCTGGGAGCTCCCACAGCGCGGCGATGAGATTTTATGCGAGGCTGACGACTGCATGGACATCGGCATGAGATCCAGAGGCGGGGACCTCCCCCTAGCATGGCGCTGTCGGAGAGCCTTGCGGCGCCACCCCCAGTGCCTCTTCGCCATCGCCCTGCTTGTCTTGCTGCTGCTGGACATGTATCACGTCGGGTTCCTGATGCCGCACATCACGTATCACCATTACAGGTTGGCTTTGGTGTGAGGGGGAGTGCGCAGGGAAACCCACTCCTCCGGAAAATATCCGCATACCACGCCCGTCACTGTCAACCC